GCTCCCGAAGTCCTTCGAAGGGTACTACCAAGAGGCAGGACGTGCTGGACGCGATGGCAACGCGAGCTATTGTTTCCTCTACTACAGCCGCGAGGATCTCCAGCGGGTGCAGAACATGGTCAGCAAGGGTAGCCGGGACGGGTCGAACAGCGATGCACAGCTGAGAAGCCTACAGCGTCTGGCGCTCTACTGCGAGAACACAAGCTTGTGTCGTCACGCAGAGATCTGCAGCTACTTTGGTGAGACAGCGATACCGTCATGCGACTATGCATGCGATTGGCATAAGGACGCGCAGGATCTCAAGAGGCGGTTGGCGAGAGGGCTCGCGAGCGAAGAGTGGGTGAGCACGCAGGCGCAACATGGCGAGTATGATGGTGATCCATATTATGACGACTAAAAGAGATGCAAGTGGCTTCACGACGCTGCAGAAAAAAAAAAACAATGACACCCGACAAGTATTTATTTGTCATGCAGTCTCTTACGATGTTGACATCTGTGGCCTGTGAACAACGGGAGCGTGTCGATGTCAGGTCTCTGTCAGAGACTGGATGATGATCGCCTTCTTCAACTTGATCGAGCTACTGCAGCTGGGTATTTGTCACGCCATGCGCTCATCATCCTGAAAACGCACTCAGTTAGCGGAACCAAGAATAAAAATTCAGGGCTAGCTGGCCCATGAAAACGGGGTTATTGATGAATCATCCCGCTGCATCCGACATGATCCTGAGCTTGGAACATGAACGAACGAACGAAAGGCGGCGATAAGGCGCCGTCGTGGTTGTGTCTTATTAGTAAGAAACCCCGCAGAAGCGGGCAGAAGAGAGAGAGGGAAGACCGAGCTACCGGGGACCATACAAACAAACATCCTTGTCGATAGCCCCGCCGCCCTGAACCAAGCGCAGCACAGCAGAGCTCCATCGACCTTCACGCATTGCAGATGCGTACATCACTCTGACCCCCGATTCCACCATCCTCTCCTGCAGCCGCCCCGAACGAAACTTGCACGTCACGAACTCTGCTATAATACGGGGTTACCCCTCCACACCACCACCAGTACCCCTCTGCCGTCCGCGCAGCCTCACCCCCTCTTACACCAAACTCCATGCGTGCGTTCCAGACCTTGCTTCGCGCAACCGCAGTACCACCAGCAGCATCTTCTTCGTCCCCAGCAGCAGCTTCGTCTAGAATCACCTCTGTGCACCGGCACCTGTCCACGACGTCTCGCGTCATGGCACCCATCACGAAGGAGGCAGACTTTGTCGTCATTGGTGGCGGAAGCGGTGGCCTCGGTGCGGCGCGCAAGGCCTCGGCGCAGTTCGGAGCCAAGGCCATCATCGTTGAGAGCAAACGCCTTGGCGGCACCTGCGTCAACGTTGGGTAAGCTTCTTCTTGTCGGTGCCGAACTTGTCGGCATTGTCCTTGTCGGTATCGAGATGTGCTTGCGCAGGGGCTTTCAAGCGCAGAGGCTAACAGGTCCGCCAGTTGCGTCCCCAAAAAGGTCACCTTCAACGCCGCTGCCATTGCCGAAACCATCCACCACGCCAAGGCCTACGGCTTCTCTGTCAGCCACGATAAGCCCTTTGACTGGCCGACCTTCAAGACGAAGCGCGATGCCTACATCCAGCGCTTGAACGGCATCTACGAGAGGAACCTCAACAACGACAAGGTCGAGTACGTCCACGGCTGGGCCACCCTCAAGTCGCGGAACGAGGTCGAGGTGTCTCTCGACGACGGGTCCAAGGCCCTCATCAAAGCGAAGAAGATCCTCATCGCCGTCGGCGGCAACCCGGCCACCCCTCCCTCCATTCCCGGCGCCGAGCTCGGCACCAACAGCGACGGCTTCTTCGACATTGCCAAGCAGCCCAAGAAGGTGGCCCTCGTCGGCGCCGGCTACATCGCCGTCGAGTTTGCCGGCATGTTCAACGCCCTCGGCACCGAGACGCACCTCTTCATCCGCCACGACACGTTCCTGCGCAACTTTGACCCCATGGTCCAGGAGGCCGTCACGGACGAGTACGTCCGCCTCGGCGTGCACCTGCACAAGCGCTCGCAGCCCACCAAGGTCGAAAAGGCCGCGGACGGCACCCTGTCCATCACGTACAAGGACGGCAGCGGCAACGAGACGGTCGAGACGGGCTTCGACCACCTCATCTGGGCCGTCGGCCGCACGCCCGCGACGCAGAACATCGGCCTCGAGGCCGCCGGCGTCAAGCTCAACGAGCGGGGCTACATTGTCGCCGACGAGTACCAGAACACGAGCGTCGACAACATCTACGCCCTCGGCGACGTCACGGGCGAGGTCGAGCTGACGCCCGTCGCGCTGGCCGCCGGCCGCCGCCTCGGCGAGCGCCTCTTTGGCGGGCCCGAGTTCTCGGCCAACAAGCTCAACTACGAAAACATCCCCTCGGTCGTCTTCTCACACCCCGAGGTCGGCAGCATCGGCCTCACGGAGCCGCAGGCCATCGAAAAGTACGGCAAGGACGACATCAAGGTGTACAAGACCAAGTTCACCGCCATGTACTACGCCATGATGGAGCCAGAGGACAAGGGCCCCACGGCGTACAAGATCATCGTGCAGGGCCCCAACGAGAAGGTCGTCGGCCTGCACATCCTCGGCCTCGGCAGCGGCGAGATGCTGCAGGGCTTCGGCGTCGCCATCAAGATGGGTGCGACCAAGGCCGATTTCGACAGCTGCGTCGCCATCCACCCGACCAGCGCAGAGGAGCTTGTCACGATGAAATAGAGCGACTTCAAATTACAACACTGTTTCGAATGATTAAAAGATTTGTGGGGCTTTTTGGGGGAGGGGTTTACGTGTCACCCAAAGATGGGCTGAAATGAATTCTATCTCTACGCCAGAGCTGTAGGATAATGGGTATCATCATACACAAAAGGGACCATGCGACTCCTTGACCCCTTGAACGCCTTGTTGCCAACTTCAATGACTTATGCCCTTTCCATGCCTGGGCCCTTTTTCATGCTGGTCTGAATGTCTGCTTGCTGTCGAGAAAAGTTGCGTATGCAAAGTGCTCTTTCCATCCCAGGTGGCGAAAGACGCACAGTAAGCACATGCACGAGCTGATGTCTTAGACAAGGTAGATGCTGATCACGGCGCTGGCAGCCCAGGCACCGACGACGGCGTAGAGAAGGACCTCGGGCCCCGGGGCGTGAATGCCGCCGCCGCTCGAGCCGCCATCACCGCCAGCAGCAGTGGGCGTGGCGGTGACGTCGACGCCGCGGGCGGAGCAGGCGCTGGCGAAGGCTTGCCGGGCGGGCTCGACGCGGTCGGGGAGGCAGACGTTCTCGATGGCGGCGAGGACGCGGTCCTGGCTGTCTTTGCAGATCTCGGCGATTTTGCAAGGGGTGGACTGCTTGCTGAGGACGGCGAGCAGGCACGCGGGCGGCGAGGCCTCGACTGTGGTGATGGCCGCGGTGGGGAGAGGAGCGGTCGCCGCGGCCAGGAGGACCGGGAGCAGGAAGAACGATTCGATCATCATTTTTGTGGATCTTCTTGGGAGGTGGGATTATAGGTGAAGCGGTTCGGGGCGGGGTTGCTTGGTGATAATGCAAATGAATGGTATGGGCTGGCTGGAGAGTAGGTCTGAGGCTGCGTGGTGGTTGTGATGGTTGTGATATAGCTGACGATTGCTTCACTCGGCTGTTACGTGACATTCTTTAAAGAGTCTGAGCAGAATGGTACCATGAGGAAATCATACGGAAGGAGCCATCCCTTCAACTGTCTAGGCTGCTGCAGTGCTGCACTTGCCTCCATCGCCTTCTTGACCATCATTGTGAAGGAAGGTGTAGTGCACACCGAGACACTCCAATGTGAAAGGACGAAGTGGTCGAGACACAGCTGTCAGCGGACGGCCCCTAACGCGGTAACCGTTAGATGAACCAGCGGTAAGGCTTCTTCTCAGGCTCCATACTTCCAAGCTCGTGACATCCAGGCTCGTGGCATCCAGGCTCGTGGCATCCTGTCTGGCCGTGCTTGCTGGCCGACGCTTGGCCGATTCTCCCGCTATCCTGCATGTCTTGGCCGACTTGTTTCTCGAAGCCTTGAAACTTCCTTCGCCCTCTGACGGCACGAGACAACTGAGACGAAGCGGAACGCCCCTCAATAGTCCTAAAACCATTCGACGAACAGAGCGCGGAGCCGGCGCCGGCGCATCTCGCCCACTCGTGGAGATCGATCATTTGCCTTCCAGCGCCCTGTGCTCGCCTAAGTGCATAACGATCTCGTGAGATAGGTAGAGCATGCCCATATTGGTTCATCTCGATGGAACCAAGCTAGCCAAGCAGCGTCTGCCGCCGCGGCAGTCAGCCCGGATGCCGATGTCCTTGCGTCACTTCACCGAACCTTGCTCGTTAGCTCGCGTTGATGGCGTTATACCTTGCACCTTCATTGGAAAGTTCCATTCCGCATCGGGACACTTTTCGCTTCCCTGCGTGAGCTTGCAGGCGGTATTGGAAGCCTGGGCTTGCGGAAAAGACCACAGTGGTCCCAGAATAAACCTTCTCGCGTGACTGGGACAAGGGAGGCACCATACCTCGCGTATTGTACACCGTCTCGAGAGTGGTCGAGAGGCTGAGCAATTCCCCCCCTCCCTGCTTCAGCACGCTTCGAATGGCTAGCGCCGCGAGGTTCCCCAGGTGTTCACACACCACGGCCCAGCCATTCGCTGAAACAGCGTCAATCTCAACACAGAATACAGTTTGCCCCTCTGGCTCCGTGTCGACCTGAGGAGGTGTATTGTGTGTGTATGCTCGCCTCCTTGCTGGGTCTGCTTGCTTCCCGAGTCGCGTGTCTTTGTTCTTTCTTTTGTTTTTGTTTTTGAACGGTCGGCCACGTTGGGCCATCAGGTTCTCCAGACAGGATCAGCGGGTGCCAAACGTGGTTGAAGAAAGGCAAACAGAATGCTTCCTGTTCTTCATTGGCGATCTGAGGTCCTTTCGCACGTCGATCTTCAAGCCTAAACCACGTACATCTCTCGTACGAACGCCTCGGATACGGAAAAGGGGTGGGACGAGGAGGCCCGCTGACTCGCACTCGGTTCCGGACCGAGAAGGGCACCCAAAAGGGCACCCAAACGCTCTCGCGCTGAGACTTTGCCGACACATGGACAAGCGTCAATGCAAGGACACCAGGCATTCGCCTCCAGAACGCGCCAGTGCCCCCAGAAATGCAGTGGTTACGTCCAGCCCTACCGCCCGCCCGGTTGGCAATCTCCAAAGCAAACAGGGTTGACCCGGGCCAGTCTGAAGTTTGTGCTCGAGAGGGGACGCAGCTGAAAAGCCCCGATGTCCCCCTTCCACGGTTACTATTTCGAGGTGATGGGTCTTCTTCGCGATTACTATGTACACGTAGACCATGAGTCCACGACATCGTCGCTCATGAGCGGATCACAGCCCTGATACGGGACGACATGTCCGAATCTCTGGTGCCCAAGGTCGTGGGGGTGGCCTCGGTGCTTATTGCCATCACCACACTCTCTGTTTTGATTCGATTCTTCGTCCGCGGCTGTCTGTTGAGGAAGCTAGATTGGGATGACGGTGCGTGGTCTAGCTAGCCTGGTCTGAGAGCGTCGCTGACTTGGGGTGCAGGACTGGTCTTCGTCAGCTACGTATGGGTGGCCTCTGACGATGCTTTCTGCGTCGATACTAACAACGCCAGTGCCTCACCATGGTCTTTTGCAGCATGGTCCTTGCCAGTGAGCACCCCCGACTCGAATTCGACATGGGAATGTTCTGGCTGACCGATCGCACAGTGACCAAAGTTGGGTTTGGATCTCATCAGTACGATCTTTCCGACGCTGATGTGGAGCGATTCTTCAAAGTGTGTACGGCGTGTTCGCATGGCTGGTACCACAACTAACCAGTGTGCAGCTGCAAATGGTGACGCCCGTCACCTACATTTGGGGCTTCGTCACGGTCAAAATGTCGTTTGCTGTGCTCTACCTCCGCCTGCTCCCCGATCTGCTCAACAGACGCATCAACCAGGGTCTGCTGGTGCTCTTGATGGCCGAGGGCCTTGAGGAGTCACTGGTCGTCATCTTTCATTGCGTGCCCGTTGCGAAGGTCTGGGATCACTCGCTCGAGGGCACGTGCCTGGATCTCAAGCCCTTCTACTACGCCTCTGTGAGTGATGCATGTGGATGACTGGTGGTCTCCGCTGACGACTTGGTCCCTTAGTTTGTCGTCAAGTTCTTGACCGACGTTGTGCTCTTCGTGCAACCGATTCCCGTGATTTGGAGAATGCAACTCTCCAAGATTAAGAGGATCGGCGCCATCCTCATGCTATCCATCGGGCTCTTGTATGTTCTTGCTCTGAGCATCACCTCTGGCGGGAGGCTGACCGGGTGCAGTGTCTGTGTCATTTCCATTGTGCGCGTCTCCTACATCGGGGCCATCGGCCGTGATTTCACCTGTGCGTTGTGATGACAGCTTACCTGACTCGGGCCCGTTCATACTGACACTGACGTGACGCAGATGGCATCGTCAACCCCATGTTGTGGTCGATGGTCGAAGTCTCGTCCCTCATCGCCTGTTCCTGCGTGCCGTCACTGCGGCCGTTCCTGCGTTGCTTCCCGGCCATCGACCGCGCGCTCGGCTTGACGTCAGAGAGGGAACTGCGGTCACCGTACAAGATGGGGCGGTCGCCCAACGCAAACTCGCTGCCGCTGTCGCAGCGGAGCAAATACAACCGGCCGAGGACGGGGGTGCAGAAGCCGGTCCAGTTTGGGCTCCAGATGGGGTCCGGGTCCGCCGTCTCGCGGTCGGCCAGCTCGGAGGCGACGAGGACGTCGGCCGATCAGGGGCACGGGGGCATCACAGACACGGCGGGGGTCGAGGTCGTCGTGGAGATGATCGAGGATGCGCATCTGGCGGCCGGGTGGCGGTCGCCTGGGGCCGGCGGGGATGAGGTCGAGCTGGTTGGGGCGTTGCAGGATGATACCCGCGATTCGTTGGAGTTTCGCCACAGGGACACGAGCTGGTTGTCGATGCGGCTTTGAGTAGATGATTGATCTCACTGTTCCGCTCTGGGAGGACATGGTTCATTATGCATGAGTGTGTGGACGAGACGGCTGTCAGGTGTCCTTGGCGCTCACTACGTCGTCGTGACGGCCTGTTGTGCTCATTTTGGCGTTTCGGTTGTCCGTCGAGAGCAGAGTTGTCGTTGCGGTGACTTGCGCGACACGGGGCCGTCCGTCCTGTCACGACAGCGCCACAGTAGCTTTCTTGCACAATCACCGGCAGCACGCAACCAAGCAGAGGGCACCTGTAGTCTCCGTTTTGTCCGGTGCATCAGGAGACCACGCATGTTCAACAAGGCCACTCGTCAAGGCACATCACTCCGTTGCATGGGGCAGCGTCCCGGCCGAGGGCGGGTGGCGGCCGGCCACGGTCACAGCCAACGTGATGTGATTGATGCTGGTATTGAAAGAACGATAACAGACTCGCTAACAAACTCCCCGTCTCCAGCGCCCGTCGCCAGCACCCGGCCACGCTCCACAGGCCGCGCGATCAAGCGGCCGCCGGCACCTCGACGCTCCTCTCGACGCCGTCGGCGCTGCCGCTGTTGACCTTCTTGCCCGTCTTGGCAATGGTGGCGAGGACCTTTTCGTAGGACAGCTCGGGCTCGGCGATGACGGAGGCGGTCTGGTTCTCGAGGGAGACCTCGTAGGACTTGACGCCTGGGAGAGAGGGGGGGAGTGTCAGTAGGTGTGCGGGCAGACATGTCTCGGGGCAGGGTATCTCTCGCCGGGTACGCCCATGGAGGACAAAGCACGGCAAGGGAAACGCACCGTCGAGCTTCTTCAGCACGCGGTCGACGGCGCCGGAGCAGCCGCCGCAGCTCATGGCGATGTTGAACTGGTAGTTGTGCTCGGCCATGTTGTCTTCGGTCGTGTGCGTCGTGTTCGTGGTTGTGGAAGGGGGGGGGGGGGCGTGGGAGGAGGTGTTTGCGGCACGTTGGGCGGGTTCAGGATGGTATGGCGCGTTCGGCGGGGTAAGGCAATGGCGAAGGCGTGTGGGGTCTCTCAGGGTGTTGGCCGATGATATGGATCTGAACAACGTATGCACCTTAGGTAGGGAGGTAGATAGGGAAGGGCAGAGAGAAAATGCATGCTCCGCGGAGGACGCAACTTATATGGATCGCGGACCGAGAAAAAGACAATTATTAATTGTCACCACCACCACCACCACCACCACAGCGGCACGTTGGCTGCACCGTCACCCGTCGTCAGCAACAACCATGGGTGCGTTCGGCCCAATTGGTGCCGCCAGCGGCCAGCGCGCCCGGTCCTCTGCAGCACCTCATCGGAGACTCTGAAACTTGCTCACGCCCGCTTCCTGAGCCCCCTACCCTACTCGTTCACACCTCCTCCAGACCGTATGCCGTAGTGCTGGCAGCAAAAAGGAACAGGTGCCTGAAACGGCCCGCAGCATCCCTGTCTCGCTCCGTGAGCAGTATTCACCACGGCGAGCACGTCACGACGCCATTGTCCGATATGGCCGATCACGATTCAATAGCTCCTCTGGTGTGGTCCTCGTCTGGTCCTTGGCCATGGTACACAGCTTGATTACGGACGAGACCTGCCTGTTCTCTCCCGACTGCCTCAAAGGGAGATGGCCATCTATCTGCCTGTTCCTGATCGACAGATCGACGGTGCGTCTGACAGCCACCCCGAGGCGAACCAAATGAACCCCCATCAGCCACCACATCGCACATCGTCTGAAT